AGTTTTCGGTTACAAGGCAAGCTCGTATGCCATTCAGCCACTTGGAACCCACTTGGTGGTCATGCCATGAATTCTAACTTCTACCAACTTGTGATTTAGCGCGATGACCAACTAATGCCATCGGCGGGAAATCCATCCTCAATGCACTATTTTTATTTTATTAAAAATATCAATTATTGCCTAACTTATATAAATATGTCATTATGAAACCTGAAAAAGAAGTTATCTGGAAGAATATTCTTTGTTCACTAATCAGTTTTTTGAAATTTATAATGAATATATTTTTTTTAAAGTAACATTTATGTTTTAAATAATGGAAATAACGAAAACAAATGAGTCATGAGACACTGGATTTTATAGCAAATTTAACATTTTTAAAACTGTCAGTCTGTAAACATCAACTTGCGTAACATTTTGTTTTAGGTTTGAAATAATAGTAATATTAGTGACTGTTGTTGTGTATTTTTTTGTTTTACTTTTTCACCAGGTGACTGGATTTTATACGATCCTTGCACAAATGAAAATGTGCATTTGTCACTGTGTTCCTTTGTTCAAGTACTTTTTTTCAGCCATAATTAAATAACAAGCTGGTGTCGCAATAACAGTGACTGTATATATATATATATATATTCATCAACCTTATTCAGCAGCTGTACGACGACGACGCATGTCAAGTGATCCACAACGGAAAACTCAGCGAGGCGTTTGCAGTAAACACAGTTGTCAGACAAGGGTGCTTATTATCACCAGTGATATTCCTATTTGTGGTGGACTGGATTATGCATCAGACAGTGGGAAACGAGAAACGGGACAGGAATATCCTGGACCGACGTGAAGAACCTAGAAGACCTGGATTTCGCGCGTGGATGAGTTATGTTTGATGTCACTGTCACAAAATTGAAGACTTACAAGCAAAAACCGACAAACTGGTCAAAGAAGCAGCCGGCGAAGACAAGACTCCAGGTGAACATAGACAAGACGGGGGTTATAAAAATAACAAGTCAACAACAACAAAAACAACAGCAGAAACATCCAGCTCCAATCATCATCAACGGGAGGGATTTGAAAGAGGTTACTTCATTCACTTCACTTATCTAGGGAGCATTGTCTCAACTACAGGAGGAACAGACGAGGATGCCAAATCAAGAATCCAATCGGGAAGGCGAGAAACAAATTCACCAACCTGAAACCAATCTGAAAATCTTCGTAACTCACCATCAACAACAAAATTCAGTTTGATTTTCAGTACAAACATCAAGTCAGTCAGTTCTTCTATACGGATCAGAAACTTGGCGAGTGGGTCACAGAGAATATTTCCAACAGCCTGTTGCAGACCTTAATCAATAACTGTCTTCGCTTTATACTGAAGATCAGATGGCCGGGCCGGAATGAATCACCATAAGAAACTATAGGAACAAAAAAAAGAACCAATCACCAACCAACAAATATACAGGAGAAAGTAGAAATGGATAGGACACTCGCTGAAGAGGCGGCTGATTGACATCGCGCGCCAGGCCATTGCTCGAGTGCAACCCGAAAGGTAGGCGGCGAGTGAGAAGTCGGTGCAAGGGTGACATGGAGGAGATCGTGTGAAGAGAGAGGAGTTGAAACAGTCTGGACTAACATGGATGCAGGTGAAAAGTAAAGCAGAAGACTTTAGAGAGTGGAGACGTGCAGTTGAAGCCCTATATTCCACTAGGAACCCAAGGGAACAATAAATAAATAAATATAATTTCCACCAAAATACTGTCCAAATAAGTGCTTAATTCTCGAAGAGTCTTGTCATATTTTCTTCAATAAGTTAACTAAATATTTGTCACTATGATTCCATTTATAGGGCGCCTATTCATCAATAAGTGTTAGACACATACACAGTGGAAAAGCAGTTATAAGTTGCCAATTTTGTAAACCTGTGAATATCTATTTTTTGACATTGATATTGTGTCGAAAAGTAATTATTTAACAAATTAGTCTTGAAAAATTGACACCGTGACCAAAGTTAGGAATTCAGTCCTTTGTTCATTGTCTATGATGGCAAGGTTTTTAAAATATTTGTAGATACAGTGGGGATAAAATTAATTACCTGTAGTGATATTGTACTTTTTTAATTGAACGGAAGAATCAGGTTTGTGAAACAAACCGATTAACAGTTTTGGTCGACTAATTTTATAAGGATAAATTAAAACCCTTTGTTACGAATCAACCTTGTGTTATCTTCATCACTTTTAGATAACTTTCATCTGTCGACTTGCGGCAGTTTTATCACGAAGTGACATCAGTTAGAGAATCCCTGAAGTACTGAACAGCTGTTTCATCTTAGTCGGTTGCGCTATATATTGCAAATTGGAATTCATAGGCTATTGGATTGGATACCAGTAGATGGATGTTCTACGATTTTGTCTTTTAATTTCAAGGTCTGCAGTTCGAGTCTTGGTGACTGTGTACTGTTGAAGGAGGAAACAGCTGTTCAGTACTCTCTGGTTTTCCTGTTTTTTTCCTTCACGTTCCCCGTGGGAACATAGGGCTTCAAGATAGTGGTTTGAAGTTTCTGTAGCAGTATTTATTTTACAGGATGGGATTGTTAGCCTCATGCCCAACCTTTCTACTTTACCAGCATTATTTCTGGCCTAGTGAGGTAAAGGAGTGCTTCTGTTGGAAATTGAACCCCGGACCATGTCCATGGTCGGCTTGCGTCCTAACTGTTATGCCACCGGCGGCGGTTCTCTAAAATTATGTCACCTTGTGAATAAACCTATAACTCTGAGATAAATAAACCTAGAAAGCATCCAAAGAAGATACAGAATTCCACTGTTATATCTTTGGTCTCATGAAATGTAAGGAAAAGTAACTACAGTAATAATGACCTGACAAATTCACATCGTTTTAACTGATTAAAAATGCCCATTACAATTTTCAAAAGAATGGATACTGAACAAAGAGTACTCTTTTCGATAAATTCATCACCGGGCTCTACATTTATACACTCATTATAGTGAACAAAAGAGTTAGTGTTATGAACGACATTAATGTTTAAATAACATCAAATCAATAATGTTGATAGATTACAGCTGAAACGCATCAACATAGAATAAGCTGAATGTCAGAAACATTAGGAAAGATAATAGTACAAATTCATGAGTTTATAGCTTCTACTGAAGGCCAGGGCAATAGTAGGGGCTGAACGTGTTTCTTTTGGACACAGAGTGCTGGAGTACCCAGACTAGCCGCTTCTAATTGTATCTATCAATTCAACTGCGCTCGTGGAGCCAGTTATATTGGCCGTTGCTCAAGGAACTTGATTTTTTGTGCTCGAGAACATCTCCCAGCAAGGCTAAGTAAAGGTGTAGTGAGAACTATTAACAGCTCGATATTGGAACATCTGGTGCAAACAGGACACAAAGCCAGCGTAGATGAATCCTCCTCTATATTATACTGGGTGCCAAATAAATCACCAAAAACATCGAAGGACTCCAGGCTCCAAACAGAAGAGGCTATTATGATTCGCCTCAAACAACCAGCACTCTGTGCCCAAAAGAAACAATTTCAGCCCCTACTATTGCCCTGGCCTTCAGTAGAAGCTATAATCTCATGAATTTGTACTATTATCTTTCCTAATGTTTCTGACATTCAGCTTATTCTATGTTGATGCGTTTCAGCTGTAATCTATCAATATCATTGATTTGATGTTATTTAAACATTAATGTCGTTCATAACACTAACTCTTTTGTTCACTACAATGCATGTATAAATGTAGAGCCTGATGATGAATTTATCGAAAAGAGTACTCTTTGTTCAGTATCCATTCTTTTGAAAATCACATCAATGTCTTTATTTGCTATAATCTCCAATGAAAACTGTATTTCCCCTAGAAAAATCAGATCTTTTATTAATTTACACACTTAAAATTCATCAAGAAAACTTTGTACGGGTAAATTACTTTTCAGAAATAAAATTTCAAATTAAACTAGTGTATTTTGAAGACTATACGGAAGATTATGTTATATATAATTTTATGGCACTCACGCCGTGAAATATCAGGAACTATGGATTCTTTCCTATGTCTATGAAAACTTACTACTTAAAAGCATACCTATTCGGAAGTACCTAAGCTGTCTTCGTCCCTTGACTAAACGCCGACGAATATCCTTCAACCCATCATCGAAAGTAGTATATATTCATTAAACTTCATGACTAAAGTACTAAAAGTGTTCTAGTGTTACGGGGTAGGTTCATATGTCAGGCGTTTATGTTATCTCAGTAGGCAAACAAACACTGGGTAATAAAGCTTAAAAGACTTTTGAATAAACTGTGCTAATGATCCTGTAGACGAAAATAATAAAAAGCTCCAAAAATCCATCAACCAACAAGAATTCAGTGATACCATAAAAATAACCAAATTCTAAATGTCTACCGAGACTAATCTCTGTCAGATATGTGAAAATGCCTAAAAGTCACAGAATTACGTCGAATATCTCCAAAATTTAGTTGGACATCTATAGTGGTTTTCTTTTGATTTAAATGAGTGTGAGGCTCATACTTGTAAAGGATGAATGCTCCTGACTAAACTTTCTTCTGACGATTTGATCATGGATTGATATCAACTACAGAACCACTTTAAACCAAGGAGAACTGGAGAGCTGTTTTATACTAATTTGAGAGTCACCGGAAGTACACAACCCCTTGAGTTCGAACCCAGGAGATTACGGTGGTTGCGTAATACCGATTATTCCCAAGCTAGAATGAAACAGCTGTCTAGTACTCCGTGGTTTTTAGTGGTTCTCTAGCTGATATCAACCCGTGATCAAACTCGTTAAAACAAATCTATTGCTTACAAAACAACTTTTGAAAAAACTTCACAAGTAGAATCCTTACCACAATAATAAAAACTTTATGATGTAATCATAATAATAGTAATAAGTCACTTAAACAAAACTTAATTAGATTAAAATTGTTTCACATTGAAGAAATACCTTCCATTAAAAAATTAAAAGAAAATTTACCTGTACTGTTTTGCGGAGTATTTGTTGAAGAGAAAAGATTTTGTTTATTATACACAACTGGTTCTGTTTTATCCAACTCGTAAGTTTTACGTCGAAGTTTTGGTGTGAAAAAATTTCGAAATGTTCTAATTGTTGGATTTTTATTTGAAACATTAGGGGAGGATTTTTCATTTGGAATAATTAAATTTGACTCATGTTTTAAATGTGTTGGTGATTGGCTACTTATTTCTCTGTTGACAGGAATATTAGATGTATAGTAGGGCATGTTTGTATGATTTGGTGTTTGTTGAACTGGTTGTAGGAGTATAGCACCTCTAAAATATGAAGAAAAGATTATATATACGTATATACATACAGGCTTTGAAATGCTTAGAAAACTGATGAGTTCACTTACAAATGTGCTGTGATGCAAGCAAGAGGTTGTATCCACTATTGAATAATCTCTTTTATTAAAGGCACCATATCTTAGGTACTTACAGCAGTCTGCTTGTATCCCTTGGGCTAGCTAAGTTCCTATCCAGTATATTGTGTAAAGTTTCCTCCATTTTTTGGTGTTTTAATCATCTATTTTTGTTTTTCAATCACTACAGGAACTCTCAGGCAATTTCGATTGCTGTAATCTACAGCATTACTTGAAGGAAATGACGGAAATTTCACATACTTGGTTCCCAAGATAAAATGCGATAAAAAAGACGAAATGCTAGCAAATTTGTCATCCTTTGTAGGATTTGGAAATTTCGACAAAATGACCTGTATCCACAAGGTGTCTGATGGTTTCACTTTACAAATATCTGCTTCGCTTTAGACCCAGGTTTCTAGGGATATGTTCATCAAACCGGATAGGAGCCCTTCTTTTTGTCCTTCCGATGTACTTTCTCCCTCAAGTGCACTTAAATCTGTAAACGCATTTGGAGGTGACATCAACAGGGTATTTATCCAGTTTTGATTGACTTATACAGCATGTAGTGTTGTAAAGTATTACGAGCTTATCTTCACGGAGGAATCATTTTTTCCTCCTTTCATTCTGTTGTCTCTCTGTTGTGATACTGCTTCTTCTTTGAATGAAGGACAAACGAACACTTTCCTCACCTCGACAGTTGATGCTTCATTTTCTTTGCTATACTCTTGAATAAATCTTTTCGGTAACTCACTTTATCTTAAGCATTTGTCAACAAAGAATAATTCTTCCTCCATCTTGTTAGGCTGACATGGCTTTCTGGTTACGTTGCACAGTGTTCTCACTAATCCTCGCTTATAGCATTTAGAACAGAAGCCGTTATAGTGAAGGTACTGTGAAATAGAATGATATTATTTTATACCAAAAATTTAGTCCTTCTTTCTTCATAGAAATGAGGGTTAAACATAGTAGAGGAGTGAATACTGTTTAAGTTAGAACAACACAAGGTCATATGGTGTACAACCCAATACTATTTTACTTGAAGACGCTATACATACAGTAAGTACTTAGCAATCTAAATACGATAAAAATCCTGTACTATATGGTAACATATTTTTTTGAATAAAGTTATTATTATTTTTATTGTTATTGTAAACACATTTGTTGATGTAAAGTAAAAGAGCTGTGTAAAAATTAGTCTGTTTCATAAACAGTGTTGATAACAGAGTGAAGTACATAACAATAAATAAAAACAACGTATAGATGGGGTTACTGATATAGTGTTACAAAAAGCCACTGATTTGGAGCCAGGTGTGAGAGAATCTGATTCATTTTTGTTCAGTCAATTATTAGTGTAAAAATTAATTGAATATGCACTAGAAAGGTTTATGCTAACAGTCAATGTCCAGCATGAACTCAGTTAATTCGACGTTGGTAGCATAGGCTTATACAGATTCTGAAGTACGTTTATTACCGTTAGAAAGAAATTATTATTCTCTTAGGTACTGAATGGAACATGGGGCTTCTTCAACCAATCTACACTTCATCTTGTTCTCTACAGTCCTCCTTAAATGGCTAAAAAGTTGTCGCCTCCTTTCCACACGAACTCCTTTATGTTATCTTTGAACGTCTATCTTGTCATTCCCCATAGGGTCTAGTGCGTCGTGTTGCTCAGAGGCTTCCTCCGCTTTCTTCGGGATGTTAGTTGATCATTAGGTTCTTGGTTGGTTCGTTTTCAGAGTTTCTTGTTTCTTATCCTACCTAAAGCAAAGGAGACTGTTGGTGGAAGTTTGTTTTTTGTGACGCACCAAGTCTCTGAACCATATACAAGCAATAATTTTTAATCATTATTATTGAAAATTCAAATCTCTTCTTGTAGGCAAAGCGCGGCAGATCTTCATACTGTTTGGAGTATGAAGGTCCATCATGCTTTTACGATGCCTGTTGGCTTTGACATTCTCATCCATGTTGTTTATAGTTGTCGTAGCGGTGCTGCTTAGATAGGTGAAAGAGGTGATTTCTTTGTTTTATTTAGCTATGGCAGGCAATAATCTTGAGTAGCTATCGATTTACTTCACATGGTATTAGCTAGGAAAGCCGAGAAAAGTCAATAGTTCAATGATAGAACACTCGCCAGCCATGCATGATTACCGACTGATCTCTTTTTATAAACCTTCCCAAGTTTACTTGCCAGTAGTTGGCCCAGAGAAAAACACAGAAGGCTGGACATGAGCCTACCACGAAGAAGCAACACCACTAATCTAACTTGCAGTCTTGGTACCGTACACTAGATTTGTAAAGCAACGGACGAAAAGAGAAATTTGTTTGAAGGAAAACCAAAGATGAGCTTTGGCAAAATAAGCAAAAGTGTTTGGCAGATATGTTCAGATAGAATGTACGAGTGTATCCAAAAGGACACACTGGAAAACAACGAAAAATTTATTTGGGATTATAGAGCATATTTCAAAGTTAGTCGAAGAAAGACTTTAGTAGATTCAGCCAGACGTACCTTCAATAGCATGTAGTGTGGTGACTGAAATGTAGCATATTCAGGTCAACAGACGTATATAAATACAGAAGGTGAAACGGCTTTTTACAATAAGAGAAGGAGACTATAAATCATACAGTCTGTTCAGACAGGTGTCAGCTATGTTGTAGATATTATTTGACTGGTTTCAATGTAGAACGTTGCAAAGATATGCAGTTGGTTGAGAAGAGAATAAGGAAAGATTCGAAAGAGAAATAATAACCAGAGATATGAGGCAAAAAGAATAGGAATATGCAAGAACAATGTAGTTTTATTGGATATTGTAAGTCACAAGTAGTGGATGAATTTGCATCATTGATAACGATTTTGAGCCATATTACCAGTTGTCTCCAGCCATCGGTTTTTACCATCCAGAGGACCCCAACCAGTCTGGAAGTTTACACCCCTCTACATGGCTTCGACTAACTGATCTGGATTTCATTGACTGATGAAGCCATGTTTTAGTTTGACCACCGGTAGCTTTTTCCAGCCTGACTCTATGCCAAATAACATTGCCCGTCGAGGTAGGCGATGGTGACGCATATTTAACACATATCCTAATAATCTTAATCGGTGTAACTTCAAAATCTTGCCCATTGATTTCCCCTCCTTAGCTAGCACTCAACCCATGCCTAAACTCAATATTGTTCACCTTTATATACCATCTAACATGGAAAATAGAACGCAGACACATATGATCAGAGACAGGTGGCCTTTTCATGTCGTTCAGAGACCGTGTCCCACAGTCATAAAGAAGGACAAAGCGATCTGTTGCGCAGTGCATACGCCTTTGGGTTGACAGCCATCTCGATATCACGTCTACGATAGAGATGGCGTAAACTGGGCTATGCGAAACTAGCCCTCTGTATCCGTACTGAGATATCGTCAGCAATCAACCTGCTGCCGTTTGTTAATGCAATTTCTCAAATAAGTGAAGTGGTCAACATGCTCTGTCACTAAAATCCCAATCTTTAAGCTGCGAATGAGTCGATTTAGTCCAGTCTCGTAGCCTCATCATCTAACACCTCCTAGGAGCGAATCATATGTCAAATATTCGGAGATTTCTGCTGAAGAAGTTCAGAAGACTCTGCATTTTGTCAGCGTCTCCACTCAAAAGGGAGGATCATATCAACCGCATATTCTAAGTCAGTGAGATTCCCTGAAGTAGATATTGATGAAACTGCGAGGATTCGGGCTTACAAAATGAATTGTGCGGGAAACACATGTCCACATTTTATCGATTCACTGTGATTTTCTACTTATATAAACTCACCTACTTTTTACTTCCGCTTGATTTCTATTTCAAACTGTGTCTTTTCTTTTTTCTTTCTCTTTTTTTTAGCATCCTGTAGTTATTGTGAAGTATTTTAAATTAAATTTCCTTCATGAAGACATTTTGTCATGAATTATAAACTCTAATCAGTCTTTCTGCTGATATTTTACAAAACTTTGTGTAAGAATTAGCTCAATGTTACAGAAATCTTTCAGTTTTTAAAATTCATCTGTCTTTTCAGTATATGCCTGCGCATTAAAAGTGAAGTATTTTTTTTTTAAAGTAGAGCCAGATGTAACGCTAAAGAAGGTATCTTTTTTACAGTGAATTCTCTGCCTTTGCATTATCGTTGTCTATTAATGGGACTTAATCAGGTTTACCTTTTTACAAAAGTGCACATAAATGTGCATAAATGTATAGTATAAGAGCAAACACTTTTAAAAGTTCCTTCCTTAATAGATTAGAATTTAATTTTTTGATAAATATGATACTAAAAGCCGTCGAATTCTGGTGTTCCTAGTGTTTCTGGCATATTTCAGTCTTATATTTTTGAGTGAGCTACAGTTAGTTTCTTTTGAAATTCAACAAACTTCGTTGTATGAAAAAGAGAAGACGTTCAGCGAAGAGACTCTTTTCGGCGAATTCATTCACATAGCTATACAATCGCATTTATATATAATTATTTGTGTGTGTACATAAGGTTTGTTAAGTTTAGATAATTGGTCAGGTAATAAAAGAATGATCTAATATAGAAACAAGGTTAATCACACAGCAACTAAAGTAAGATTGAGTTAGTAAGTTAGATGACGTAATATAGTTGGCTAAAATGTTTCAGCTTAGGTCAGGGTAGCAACAGAGGTAATTACAGGTAGAGACTAAGTAGTAGTGAGGTAGAGAATAATGCAATTTAAATTAGAACTGAAACTGAGCAAATAAGTTGGATGACGTAACGTAAATGACTAGAAATCGAGCGTTGGTCAAGTCAGTAAAAGTGGTAGTGAGATGTAGAAATTAAATCGGGTGGCGGTAGAGAACAAGAAAGTTGAAAATGCAAAATATTACAATTGAGAAGACAAAATAATACTAATGAAGAGACAGAAAAAAAGAGATTAGTTAGAATTTACTTGTCGGGTAATAAGATAGATTAAGTGCATTGCAAGTGTAGTGATTGAACGAACTTCTTCTGTATGCAGAGTTCAGGGCTTAGCAAGTGGATTGTCATTGCCTCTGTAGTTTGAAGAAGTCTGATTCGTACATCTTTAGGAAGACTACTTCTTACTCTTCAGAAGACTTTGAAGTTTGTTTCGGGTGTAGCTTGGTGTCCGGAATCTATCATATGTTCTAAGATGGAGCTGTGGGGACATCGTTTTTCTCCTTTGTGAAACCATGTTGGTAAGTGTTTGGTGATACGTTTGGAAGGCGAAAATTTTTCATTTTTAAAATATGCCTCATCTTCGGAAACTGAAAGTGATTCGAAATCCATTTGTCTACAAATCAGGATGTCTTTCAGCTACTTTCATTACTCTTTGTCATTTTTCAAAAATTGGCTCTCATTTCAAAGTTTGTATTTGTTCAATAGAAGAAAAATGACAACAGCAAGGAGTACGAACATTATCTGCAATTCTACAGTTCTGTAGCGTGGTGGCGTAACCTAGTCATCCTTTCGTTGGAGTCACGTAGGACAATTCAGAACTAACATCTAAATAAGTCTCGCGTGGCTGAACTCTTAACACTTTTACAGTGGCTGCCCCGGCTTGTTCTAGTTGTCAGTATGATCTCTTATATCAGTAAATATATGGCCAAGCAGATAATCCGGGGGTTACTCGCTTAAAAATTTTGTTTTCAAATGAATGTACAGTTATACGTGTATCCAGCTAAAATGACTTGTGCATCTATAAGATATTGAGATTTAGATTTGTGAAATCACACCATAAATAATAAATAATGTACGTTTACTTACCCAGAATTTACTCTTTGTCTTGTTGTTGAAACATGCGGAATAGGTGCTTTTAACCTTATTTGTTGATACTGTGGATTGAACTGTGGTGAACCATCTAGCTGACCGTTGTTTCGCTGATTTAGGTAATCATTTGCGACCATGTTGGGATGAATGACAACCTTTGCTGGTACAGAATAATTTGGCTGTTGGTAATTCTGTTCATAAAGAATTAATTGGAATGTAATCAGAATAACAGCAAATATCTTGACGTATAATTGACTGCCTAATAAAATCTATAAAAAATGTACTGTGTGAATTATATTCATAGCCTGAAGTTATTTACCTATTCCGTAATTTTGAAGAGATTTTGCAACGTATTTCACTTTGAGACTTATATCTCTTTTTAGACAGATTTCAGTTAAAGAACACTGTGATTTCAAACGACTGATGCAAAATAAAGGACTCCTTGATACCACAAACTAGTTCATTAGAAAGAGGAGAAGTTTTGTGAGTGATTTTATTTTCAAGTATTGGTTTTGTAGGGATTTTGTTTGATTGCATGGAGGATTTCATCATGAACTGACATCAGTTTGAGAACCCTGGAAAACCTAGGAGTACTGGACAGCTGTTTCTATCGTCCTGGTTTATGAGTCCTTATCAGTACGTACCCTCCGGGTTCGAACCCAGGACCTTCTGGTCACAACGCGAGCTCGTAGACCATTCAGCCGCTGGGACCCGATCCAATTGACCTTGAATTCTAACTTCTGCCAATTCACAACATAGCGCGACCATTTCGCAATGTTTTCTTCGATGAGTTACTGCCTAATCTTCGGACTGCTGTACCCTGATGGTCACGGCTTCCCACGAGAATCCAAGGTTAACTGCCTGAATAGAGCCAGTTGCTAGTGAGCATGAGATTAATTTTCAAGTATTGGTTTTGTAGGGATTTTGCTTGATTGCATGGAGCTGACATCAGTTAGTGATTTTATTCACTACAATACCGATGATAGTCGATTAAAAACCTATTGACTGGGACAGAATATTTGCAGCTCAAAAAATGAATGTTGTATACCACCTTCAATCCTTTGGGTTGGAATTTAAGTCCGTCAGTGACTGTCAGGAGTGGTTGATTCAAGATGGCTACCTGCTGAAATTCATCAAAATGCCTAAACTCTTCTGTATTTCTTATTGTTTAAATCATTTAATTATGTTGAATTATTACTACATTTTCTCGTGCTGATATTTAATTGGCTACCAAGTGAATACTGTGCAATTCTCGAAGGAAATGAAGAATAAACTTACAAAATTGGTTCTCTGTTCATATGTGACGACACTAACTCACAGGATGTACTTTAGTTTACTACTTTGCAGGTAAATCCTATACGAAGAGGAAGTATCTTGTAACCAAATACGCTGAAAATTTATGTACTATGTGTTCATATATTATCTAAAATAAAGCTTTAATATTATTATCATTATTCCAACAGGAGCAAAGAAATGTGCACTGATTGAAAATCGTAAAGACATTTCAAAATCGTTTTGGATAACAAGTATTCTTAACCAATCCCAACAAGAAAATATGTAAATATGAATTTAATTTTCAGGTATTGGTTTTTTAGGGATTTTTTTTGATTGCATGGAGGATTTCATCGTGAACTGAAGATGAGCCAGTAACTCATTGAAGAAGACAATGCGGAATGATCGCGCTATGTCATGGATTGGCAGAAGTCAGAATTCAAGGACCATTGGATCGGGTCCCAGTGACTCAATGGTATACGAGCTCACCTTGTAACCAGAAGGTCCTGGGTTCGAAACGTGGCGGTGGGTGCGTATTGCTGAAGAGTCCCAAACTAGGAAGAAACAGCTGTCCAGTACACCCAGGTTTCCCAATGGTTCTCTAAATGATGTCAGCTCATGATGAAATCCTCCATGCAATCAATTTAATTGGCATTAATTGAAAACAATTTTGAAATCGTGTTCAATTTAGGTTCCTCACCAGTAGATTACAGATCACTGAACCAGAAGCTCTACCAGCTGAGATATACGACTTAAGTGCTAGCCAGCTAATAACTGCATTGTAACCGTTACGGTTGGATATAGCTATCACATAAGATTATAGCGCATAACTGTCCTTTTATCGCTTTTATCATGCTCACGCCGATCTTCTCCTGACACTTTTAACCGCACTTAATTAGAAGAAGGGGAAAAGGCTGCCAATGGATGCTGAGACTGTTATTACATATAACATGATTAATAGTCTACCGCTCAAAGTCTATCCTAGATATTTTCACCAGAGAATGTCAATTCCTTTAATTGCATTCAAGAATAACTAGACATTATGCAACAGATAGTTTATGTCTGTTTTTATTATTACAGACATTTTCGCAAAAATGAATGACAATTATATTACAAAAAGTAATTTTGTAGAAAATGATGAACGTCTTTCTTTATTTGCTTGAGTGTATTTGACTTGACATATATATATAAGTATTTCACGTCACTAGAATTCAGTGCACTACAAGTTATTTTTGGTTTTCTACTTTACTTTTTTCAATGTGCAATTCACTTTGCAATGGGATTTGTAGCGTTTTAAGACAAACTAACATTTCAGTCTGTTATCTAATACCATCGAAGCATATTAATTAAGTCTGCAATAAACAAGGAAATAAACATTTTCGTTAAGTTAATTTTATAATGGGAAAAAATTGTTTATATTATTTCGAAAACCACAAAATAATGCTAAATGTTGTGGGAAAATATTCGCTTAAAGATGCATTTTAAAAGTGCAGACTCTCTCTCTCCGGATTGTTCACCATGGCTATTATTTCAATCTTAGTTGGCATTGACTAGTTCATGAAAATCAGTGCCATATACCCGTGAATTAAGTTTCCTTATTTGTTTCCTGTTCTGCTTACTAAGCACTTAACCCGATATTTCTTAGCAAGTTATTGTAACAGAACTATTATTACTAATCAAAGATCATTTTGCGAAGTGTTCATATTGTAGGTATTAAACAGGATTACTGGTATATTGTATTATAAGGTCAACCTGAAGGTTGGAGGAGTAACTATGACTTTCTGAAGGACGAGAGCGAACTATTTCTATGTCCTTGAGATTGCCGAACGCAGTTGGTTCAGGTTGTAATCCTCTTTGGTGCTAAGGCGTATTAGAGGCACTGGGTCATTGACCGCGAATGGTAGCCTGGTCATGAAAACCGAGCGGGAAGGATGTGTAGGAGAGTCTCGTATCCCTATAATAAAGGGGCAGCTTGACTGGAACCTTTGGGCGACCTGCAAGGGGATTATGTCCTAGACTAATTTGCTTGTGGATTTTAGCCTTTAAGGATTCGTTGGACTGCGATTGGTCGTGGGTCTCCCCGGGTGGTTGTAGGTCTTTGAAACCGTCCAGTGAGGTCATACAGCTCAGGTAGGTGGCGCGACCTCCAGTTGCTCAGGTGCGCAAGCGCCAGGGTTCCTCCTATGATTTAGTGAGGGAAGGGCAACCGTGAGAGTAACCGCCCGCGGTCCGGGGACCCAGTGGGTTAGTATGTACCATCTGAGAAGCAGCCATGGTTTGTTTGAGACCGGACAGTGAGGGGTGGAAAAACACCTACCGCTGCGGGAGCATTAATGGGGTGCTCATTTTCATGCTGCAACGTCGCTGAGATGTTGTCTACTCAGCAGGCGTACTAACTCTGCGGGGGGGAACAATGGGATAACTAAGAATTATAGCACCGCCCTCTCCTCTGGAGGCCTTGCTGAAAATACAACGTAAAACGAAGGTTAGACTCTATGTGGGTTTTTTGGATGTGTATTACTAAAGAGTCTCAAACTAGAACAAAGCAACTGTCCAATGCTGTTAGGTTTTCGATGATCCTCTGATTAACACCAATTCTCGATCAGACTTGGAATTGGTTCTACATTGATTCATCTATTAGTCAGGTTATATGCTACGTAGCAAACGTGTCGACTGAAAAGTACTGCGTAGCCTTTGTTAAAATAATTTAGTAGTAGTCTAAAGCCTACTAAATGACTAAGACACTACATGTTAAAAAAGATTTAACAGTACAAAAGTGAAGTGGCAAGTTTAGCCACCGGACTGTATTCAGAAGACAAGATGAGACTTAGTAACAGGCATTAACGTAACCGTTGCAACGTTTTAATATATTCATTACTGTTCGATTAATTTAATCATGAACATTTCCACTGAACCTGTAAATGTTTTTAAAATTGGCTAGATCTGATACCTAGAGCAGTAAAACAAACTACAAATGACATTTTTCGACTTAGAAGTTTCATTTCCCAGTAAATTGCAAATACAGATAGATTTTTTGAATATAACTCTTTTATACTTGTGATTTCCAGAAAATATAAGTGGCCTTAATTGATCAACCTTATTTTAGTATGCAGGTTTCTTGAATGTGTGTCTTGATATCCATCCATGCTTTCCAGCTGGTAGTTTCCTATTTGTTGGTGGCTAATGATGGAGGCCATAACTCGCGTCTCACCCTATTGGAGACTCATCAGCTGGGAGTATTTGCATCCTACTGAATTCAGCATTAATAGATTCATCAAATTTCTGATGAATTGGAAGTCTTCAATATCAAACTTGATTTTTATTAAGTAAAGCAAAGTGTTGTTGCATTGCTACATAACTGAAGACATAGGAAACATGTGCGTATAGCTACATTTAAATTAGTGTAGTTTTAATTACTCCTTTGTACTTGTGCATGGATTTTACTCCATATGTGTGTTGATAAAGATTGATTTGTATGGGTTGTTAAAAAACCAGATCAAAATGTGTTTTCTATCACCAGTCTTATACAGGCAACATTAACTCGATTTAATATGAAGTGATTTTTTTTAAAGCAAAGGGTTATTATGAATTTCAGTAAAACCAAATCTTGTGTTAAAGTCTCATGCGCAGTTATAGCTGAAGCGTAACCTGGTTATTAGAGGTTTGATTTCACACATAATCGCATAAAGACTTATTTTAGAATCAACAGCACAAATAAACTTGTGCTTACTCTGCCTCTTCTCAAACACTTGACAAGGCAAGATGGTCCTTCAAGGTGAGCTTCGTTCTTATTATCATAAGCAAATCTTGATATCGTCAAATGCCGACTTGTCATTACGAAAAGTTAAGTGAATTATCTTTGCTTAAACTTCTGTTGGTGGAATATAAAAATCTTGTAATAAATACGTAAGTTTAGGTT